CTAACGTACATGCACATGTGGGAGATTTCAATTGGATGAGTTACCATGTCCACATGCTTTGGCCGTTTTAACAATAAAACACACTGGTTATGAGAAATATTGTTCGGCTTACTATACAAGAAAAAATTTATCGTTGACATATCAATTTCAAATGGATCCCCTGCCAAATGAAAGTACATGGAACACACCAACACATGTTCTTGAAGATATTGTACTTCCACCTCATAGAAAGTGACCTCCGGGAAGGCAAAAAAATAAAAGACATACTCAACTGAGAGAAGATGGATTCAAGAAGGCGAAAACTACATGCAGCAATTGTGGACAACATGATCACAACAAGAAGACTTGCAAAAATGTCTGGCCTTATGATCAAGAATAAAAAAATAATTTGTTTAGTAGTTTGTTTTAGAAGCTCATTGACTCTACGAATTTGGATCATGTTCGGTTATATGGTCTATATTTTTGGTTCCGCAATCTCGTGTTATTCAGTTTAATAGAATGCTTTCTTAGTTGTGCAATCTCATGTTATTCAGCTTACTGGAATGTTTCTATGTGTATAGTTACATTTTATATGATATATAGATGAAATGATATAGTTTACTGGAATAACTCAGTTGAGCTTGAGGCTTGGAAATGTCTTGCTGAGTATAATTGTCAGGTTGGGGAATTTGGGTGATGCTTGGTATGTTTTTGGTTTGTTAGTATTTTTGTAATATAGCTTTAATTCAATGTTTAATTCACTTGTTAGTATTTGTGTAATACAACTTTAGCTTAGGTTTAATTAAGGTTTAATTCAATTGTTACCATTTTTGTAACATAGATTTAATTCAAGTTTAATTCAAGTTTAATTCAATTGTTACCATTTGTGTAATATAGATTTAATTCAAGTTTAATTCAGGTTTAATTCACTTGTGGAAATTTTAAGATTAATGTCTTGTTCTAATTCTATAAAGAAAAATAGGATTTCAAAAAAATAAATAGTATCAATTCGTAACACAGAAGTTCATATATTTGCAACCAAAAAACAATACGTGATTTTTTTTATAGTTTTCACAACTTATTGAGGTTTCATGTTTACCTCGAAAATTATAATTTTTTACTACTCAAATTACATATTCAAATAAAACTATAACTTTAAATCAACCTAATTACAGTTTTTTACTACCATTTCCTGCCAGTTTTACAGGAGCATTCATAGTGTCATTCAAACAGAAGTATGAGGAGCATTGACTTCTTTAAACTCAATCATGCATACTTCCAGCAAGTTGGATAGACATGGGCAGCAGCTTGTTGCTCCCAAACAAACTAACATATGTAGCATTCCAACTGCAAAGACAAAATTCCTTAGAGGAAGTACAAATAGAAAGGATCAATAAGGACACAAAGAAGGAACAACTTCAAATAGAAGACTTACATATAAACAACATAGTTAGGTATATAATATCAAGACTTACAAAATAGACCAATACAATTTTTCATAGCCATAGTAACTACAAATTGTTTTACATTATATAGTTTTCATAGTCATACTAACTAATATAACTATATTCTTTTATCTAACTGGTCTTTCGTCTTCACTTTGAAGGTCACTCTCTTGCTTGCTTCTTGCATATTTCCATAATATAGCTCCAAATCTCTTTCGGACAATGTCTGCCTTTACTTGTTGATTTTGAAAATGTTGGCCATTACTTACAAACTCCGCAAATGCAGCAACGAAAACTCCACAATCCCTACAAAATTCAATATAAAATTATTATCAAAAAATCAATTTAATAATTAAAAAAACACATATTTGATAATACTTACAGTGAATCCTCATTTTGTCTGGGAACATCTTTAGTTATGAAATGAAACTCAATTTTCTCGAACTCATTTATCTCACTGTATTTTGGTGTTGACTTCAATTCAGGACGCTTATCATAGAACTTAACCACACTTAGATAATATGGTAAACAACCGAAAGCATCTCAAAAATATTTTTTACCTCTAAATTCACCCCACCCCTAGCCGGAAATGAATCATACACCTCCAATGACCTTTGCCCAATATCAAACACCACAAAAATCCAGTGACGATTCTCTTTAATGTTTAGTGGAATAAGAACAAAATCCACTTTATCCCACGAGGTACTTGCCAACAAACGACGTCCACTGATATACCGGGCAATATCATCAGAATCTAAAACTTTAAAATTTTCCTTATCCTCATGAGCATCACAAAGTTTAAAGAAAGAATTGGTAATCTTTGTCTTCAAAACACAACCAGTCGTCGTAAAATGAACATTACTGTTGGTTTCATATTTTCCTTTCTTTCATAGGTAATAGAAAATGACATCAATATGCTGGGAAAAAAAAACTTATGAAACAGAATAGTGACAGAACAGTGCAGAAATTTCAACTCAAAGTTAAGGGAAAACTCTGTTTTCGCCCCAAGTGTGGCTCATTCATCACATATTGGTGAAACACAACAGTGATAGAACTTATGAAGATGTTCAATTTCTACCAGAAAAAACTTAGAGACAACAGTAACTTACTGAAGCTGACATATTTTATATAATATTCTAGCTCATGTATATGCATATATGTGGATTCTTAATGATACAATGAACCTCAAAAGAAAAGAATTGAAGCTAAAATGACAAGAACATGATTACAAGTTTCATTCTTTGCGCAATATCCTGAGCTTTTGTCCCTATTGAAAGACAGAGACAAAGGGAACAAGAACAGAAAGAAAAATGACTTGCAAGCTATAGAATTACAATGTCACACAACTAAAGAGCTTCAATAGATGAAAAATACAATCTATCTACACAACTAAACAGAAAGAATTTTAGTTGAGACAAAGGCAAACTCAAGATTAAGAAACAGAACGAATCAAAGAAATATTAACGTCCAACTAAAATTTATATAACAAACCTCATCACACCATTGTTGTCCAGAATGTGCCAATTTGAAAAACCAGAGTCTTTCATCTACCGTACAGACACCCAATTCAAATGCTGGATTGATAACATTAAGAGCATCTGTATAAGGTTTCTTTGCCCTATCAAAACATAACAAAAATAAAAAAATACTCAAAACCGAGACAGAAACAACTAAAAAAGAGGCAAATACGAAACTAAAAAAGAGGTACAAAGCGTTCCACAAGTTGAATTAAGCTTGTATATATTATGAATTAGGAAAATTATACCAAAAACATCAAAATAAATTACCTCTTTTTTGTACCCATATAAAGCCACTTAGTGAATGAATCGATCAAATCAGATTCATCATCTCCTCCGCTTGCATATAAAAAAGGATGTTTTGTCTCAAAAACCTGCATGTAACACATAAAGTTCCTCCAGATTCAAAATGTTGTGTGAAGGGAGATGTTATTAACTTTCCTGGATTTTTCTTTCTGCCACGTTTCTTCGGTGACACTTTCTTTTTGTTTTGATCAACTTGGGCTCTTTTTTTTAGATAAGATTCTTCAGTCCTATTAA